CACAGACAAACGCTCAGGAGTGTTGCTCTTTCCTTGGTGACCATTGTTGCCATTGCCTGAGTTGTTGTTGCCATTTCCAGGTCTGTTGCTGCCATTACTGTTACCATTCCCGAACTTCCTAGTCTGACCATTGCCTCTACCTCCCTGGTTATGAAAGTTGTTGGGCCTCTGCTGGGTGCTCCCACTATTCCCACAGTTTCCTTGTTGGTTCTGCTTAGTGTAACACTCATACTCCTTATGCCCCTTCTTATTGCAAAACCTACAAGTCACTAAATTTCCTTCACAGTCTCTTCCAGGGTGGTTTCTCCTACACCTCTTGCAGTTGAACTTCCTCTCCCCATTGTTAGCGTTAGAAATCTGCTAACATTCTGGTTATTCCTCTCAGATGAGCCCCCATTCTTAAACCTTTTGAAGTGACCCTGGTTATCAGAGTTCCCAAATTCCTTCCTCTTCTCTCCGACCTTAGCACTCTCCCCTACATCCCTAGAATTCAAATGGTACATGTGTGAAGCTCTCTCATACACCTTATCTAGGGTCTTGAAGACTTTCCCAGCTAGGTCTTTCTGCAACTGTTTAGTCAAACCCTTATCAAACCTCTATGCCTTCAGTTCCTTAGTCGGGACAACCTCAGGGGCAAACCTAGCAAGGGTCATAAACCTATTATAATATTCCGAAATCGACATTCGGCCCATCTCTAAGTTAATGAACTCTTGAGCCTTCTGCTTCTTCAAAAATGGGGGGTAAAACTTATCCCTCAATGCAGTTTAGTGCCACAACTTTCATACCCTCAGGACAATTATTTCCGCATTATCTCTCCACCAGATATTAGCCTCATCCTTAAGGTACATAGCAGCCTGATCAACTTTCATACCCTCAGGACAATTTAGTGCCACAAACAGCTTATCAAACTCTCGGACCCAGTTTTCCAAGAAGGTAGGATCGTCACCTCCCTTGAAAACTGGTGGCCTAACTTGGGCCAACTTCTTGAACATCTCAGCATGGGGATCAGGTTGGTCAGCTCGATTCTGATTCAAATTCTCAGCTAACATACGGATGGCCTCAGCTAAAGCAGCATTATTTGCCATTCTAGTTCTACGCCTGTAAGAAGGTAAACGTTTACTCTAGCTTAAACAAAATTCAAACGTCGTGCACATACATTCATTCAATCACAATATTACGTTTTATCACATAAATTGGTTCAAAAGGGTACTTTGGTCTTTGCACCCCTTTGTCCCAAGTAAAACCAGACAATAATAGCACAATCCACACACAGGAATAAGTAAAGTTAAGAAAAATAATTCCCATCCCACGCTACTCTTACTCAACTTAATTATAAACAAGAAATTTCCTCAAAATTATATGTAATCACAGAACTTATATTGGTCTTGAATCAAACATATTATCAGAAATGGAATCCTAATAATAGAATAATAACTCTTATTATATCTCCAATAAAAGTATTAATCTCAATCCATAACTCTGTAGCTCTAGCTACTTATTAAAATTCAATAGTCAAAGTCAAAACTAAGTGAGGTTCTAATAACCATTATTGATAGCAAAACCTTACTAATACTAGCTATACTCTAATAAGCCTAATCTTTAAGGGACCACATTAGAGTTCTTGTCTTTCTCTTCCTCATAGGTATTAATATCAAAAATAAGGTCATTCTCATCTTCGGAGTCCTCAATAACAGCTTTATAAAGCGGATTCAGATTCCTAGTAGTCCTCTTCCCAACTTGTGGTTTTGGTGGTTCTAAGTTCTCCTCTTCATCTGACAACTCATTAAGGATTCTCTGAATAGCCTTCTTTCTGTCTTTTTTCTTAGTCATCCTGTACTCGTACCAACGTTGGTATGTTACCTCTCTTTCATCATTTTGATTTGGATGCAAAGTCCACTCATCCCAAGAGTTTGTGCTGTAATCGGTCTCCTCTTCTTGCTTAAGCTGAGTCACCTTCGCTATATTTTTATCCATCTCTCTATGTTATCCCAACATAACAAGCATTCGAAAGGAATAACATGAACACATCAAGAAAGAAATTTAATTAGAACACTATCACACAATTTATTAACTAAGCAACTTGCAAAATAATTAAATAAATGCAAAGTAATCAATATGCATGCATTCCCTTTCTAGTTCTACCCAAATCTCACCAAATAAATAATTCAAGTTTCAAAATTACTTTATAACCATTTAAAACAATTGGTTCGAACACAATTAAATTTTAAAATCATTTTGACTTTTAAATACAAAATCCTTAGTCAATTAATTAGGCGCCTAAGACATACTAATTGGCTTTAGTGGTAATTAAATCTAACCTAAGCTCCCAGATACCACTTTGTAACACCCCAATAATTCTCTCTTTAAAACCTATATTAACCTGTAATAACCTGTATAACCTGTAATCACCTGTAAATACTTTTAATAACCTGTGAGAGAATTACTGGCGTGTTACCGCCACGTATTCAAACGTTAAGGCTAGTTTTAGAGATCAGCAGCGGAAAACTAACTTAGTTTTTAAAAAAAAACATAAGTTTCAAAACTAGAAGTCAAAACTCAATTTAGTCTTACAAGTTGGAACCTTAACGACCCTTATTCAAAATCCAGTAAAATAGGAAGTAAATGGAATTAGAACCAAAATAAAATTCAATCTATGATATGAAATAGGCTAAGTGATTAACCAACGCTCTACTCAAATCCCATCACCCTGATGCAAGTCAGTTTATGCAAAAACCTGTGATAAATCTACTCCCCAATATTACAATTGTAAGAATTGGATCATTACAGGGTCATTGAAGGCGAAGACCATGACCAAGAGAAACACACAAAAGCACGCAATCAACAACGCTGAGTACATACAAGCTACGAAATATAATAAAGAGTCTTAGCATGATACTATCAAGCATTCCATACACTCACAATATAATCATTGACTCAAACACATGATTTAATTGTTACTTATTACTAAATTTTCTCTAGATAGCATTGATTACTTCATTAATTTGATTGGATTAAGCAATAGACCAGGTTGTCCCCCTACGCTCCATTCCGGAACATTAATAACGAAAACCCTATGCCTCCTTTCGGAAGACATTAATAAACATCCAATGGCAGACGGGCGCGACTCCATGGCCATAGCTAGTATGAGATCTCATCTAACTCATTATAATTTTAAAAGAATTTAATACAAAAGACTCGTAGATCAGACGGCCTCTGAAAAGTGCACGGCTAATACCCCGTGAACCCCAACCCCTGTTTGTCATTACTCTAGATGTGCACAAATCCAGAGTTTTATTGCTCATCCTTCTTGCACTTTACGTGATTTACCTGTTTAAATTTGGTGATGACTCAAATGCAAAACAACACAACCAATCATACATCAATCATTCAAACTATTTAAAACCAATCATACATCAATCATAAAACAACCGCATAAACATTTTCATTTGAAATAATCGTTATATAGCACGTTAGTATGTTGAGAACTTGAAAATCCATCATAAAACCATGATTTAAAGCTATTTAAAGTTGGGGTTAAAATCTGAAATTTTAAGTTTAGTAGTGGAATATAGGGATATAAATATCTAAACTTGGAATATATAATTAGAATTCAATTATATTCATAATACCCAATTAAACTTTCAAATTTCACAACTTAAACCCTAGCATATACATAATTTAAAATCTGAAATTTAGTTTATAATCAAGGTAATTGAATTTAAACATATTTATACATACTATAATTAAATAATTTAATCTTCCTGCTTTGAGCCCAAATATTCAGCTTTCTTAAAAATCTGAAAATTATTATACTCATCAAAAATTAAGGTTAGGATCATAATTAAGCACAAGGTAAGTAATTAAGTCAATCATTCACGTTTTATGCTCAAAATCATGAAAAATCAACGTTTAAACCCAAAATCAGCTTTTCTGAAAATCTGAAAATTACATATAACCATCGAAAATTAAAGGTAGAATCATGTTTAAATACAAGGTAATTAGTTAAATCAATTATTCATGGTTTAAGTCTATATTTTGCGAAAATCACGATTTTTGAACCCTAATTTCGTAGCTAATAAAATCTGAAATTAATCATGTACTTAGTATATCATAAACTCAACAATTTCGCAACATAACCCAATAAATTTGAAATATTCATCATGTATATGCATAATCAAATCAATAATTCATATAAAGATTAAATTTTTGAAGAAATTAAAACAAGAAAAGAGGAAGATAGAAGAGAAGGGAAGTGAGGGGAAACCGGCTGGTGCCCGACAGTGCTGCGGTGGTGGACTGCGGCTGAGGGCAGGCGGCAGCAGCAGGCTGGGCAGCGGTGGAGCAGCAGCGCAGGTGAGTTTTTATTTTTTTTTTTTGTGTTTCGTGAATGAGGCAGGGAAGCAAGGGAAAGGGAGTAATAAGGAGAAGCAGTATGAGGGTTTTTGAGAGAAGTTTACTTAATTAGAAAAATGAGGGTTTGGGATCTTTTATGTTTGTAGAATTAGAATGGTAATCATAGCCCAAAGTGAGTAAAATGCTATTGAAATATAAGTTATTGTTTTTATTTTGTGAATTCTTTCCAAAATATTTTTATATACATATAAAATTATTAAAAATAATCGTATACATAAAAATATATAATTATTATTTACTAAGAAAAATATGGGGGATTACAATCTACCCCTCTTAAAAGAAGTTTCGTCCCCGAAACTTAACCCAAAATCCATAATTTCTCAAAACTATTACGTTTTGTATTGCTGTAAATTGCTTGTTTCTCAATCATATATACCTAACAACTGAGCTCATGCTCGATAAACTCGTACTTAGCCAAAATTTACGTACTTTATTAGCATGCAAACACAACAATACTTGATAATAATAAGCAAGTTCATGCAATCTTAAAGCAATAAATGGCATAAATGGGGTAAAACGCGAAATCACACTACATTCTACCCCTCTTAAAAGAAAAGAGTTACGCCCTCGTAACTCACCTCATCAAATTACTCGGGGTATTTCTTTCTCATCTCTTCTTCGGCCTCCCAAGTAGCCTCTTCGTACTCATGGTTAGACCAAAGGACCTTCACTATCTTCACATCTTTGTTCCTAGTACTTTGCACCTTGTGATCTAAGATTTTCACTGGTCTTTCTTCATATGTCAAAGATTCATCCACTTGGATTGTTTCTGGTTGCAACACATGGGTTTCACTAGGCACATACTTCTTCAATTGGGAAATGTGGAACACATCATGCATTTTCTCGAACTCTATTGGCAAAGCCAACTAATAAGCCACGTTTCCCACACGTTGAAGAATCTCATATGGCCCCACATACTTAGCACTTAGTTTCCCTTTCTTTCCAAATAGCATCACGCCTTTTGTTGGCGAGACCTTTAAAAAGACCTTATCCCCAACATTGAACTCATCATCTCTTCTCTTCAAGTCGGCATAACTATTTTGCCTATCTTGTGCTGCTTTAATTCTTGACTGAATCAATATCACCTTGCTCACCATATCCTCAATGAAATCTGTTCCCAAAGTAACACGCTCACTACAATCATTCCAGCACACTGGGCTTCTACACTTTCTTCCATACAATGCTTTAAAAGGTGCCATCTTGATACTCGTGTGATAACTGTTGTTATAGGAGAATTCAATCAAGGGCAGGTTATCTTCCCAACTCCCTTGAAAATCCAAGGCACAAGCTCGCAACATATCCTCCATGGTTTGGTTGGTTCTCTCAATCTGGCCATTCGTCGCAGGATGAAAATGTTCATCTTCAAGGTAGTCCCAAGGTTTTCTTTCTCCTTCTGCCAAAACTTAGACAAGAATCGCGAATCCCTGTCCGACACAATGTCCTTGGGAATTCCATGCAAACGAACCACATTCTTCACATAAGTACTTGCCAATTGCTTCTTTTTCTAGATTTCCTTGATTGGAATGAACATCGCTGACTTAGTAAGTCTATCTACAATCACCCAAATCGTGTCATTCCCACTGCGAGTCTTCGGTAATCCTGTCACAAAGTCTATAGAAATAGAATCCCATTTCCATTCCGGTACCTCCAATGGTTGCACTTTCCCCATGTGTCTCTTGTGATCTATCTTCACCTTCTAGCATGTCAAACACTTGGTCACGAATTCAACAACTTCTCTCTTCATATTCGGCCACCAATAGAACTCTTTCAAATCCTTATACAGCTTATCTCCCCCAGCGTGAACTGAGTAAGGTGTGTTATGGCACTCCTCCATGATTCTTCTTTTTATATCCTCACACTTCTGCGGTATGCACCATCTCTCCTTGTATCTCAGACTCCTATCCTCATGAATCTTGAATTCGGTCTCTGCGCCGCTAGTCACTCTATCCCTAATCCGCTGAAATGACTCATCCTCCCTTTGTTTTTCCTTAATCTCCTCGAATATGGACGGTTGAATCTTCAAAGCACTCAATATTCCTTCTAACTCTCCTTGACGAACGATCTCAAGGTTCAATATCCTCATCTCCTCACACAATTCATCAGCCACAATCAAAGCATTAACATTATTACTCGACTTCCTACTAAGAGCATCTGCAACAACATTCGCCTTTCCTTCATGATACTGGATGTGTACATTGTAGTCTGTGAGGAACTCTAACCATCTACGTTGCCGCATATTCAAGTGATCCTGGGTGAAGATGTATTTCAGGCTCTTATGGTCTGTAAAGATCCTACAGGTGACACCGTAGAGATAGTGCCTCCAAATCTTCAAGGCGAACACAACAGCTGCAAGCTCTAAGTCGTGTGTAGGACAGTTAACTTCATGCGTCTTCAACTGTCTTGATGCATAAGAGATCACTCTCCCATTCTGCTGCAGAACACATCCCAGACCATGCTTTGAAGCATCGCTGTATACCTCGAATCCATCTCTCCCATCGGGCAACACTAGTACTGGTGCAGTGGTTAGTCGCTCTTTCAGGGTTTGAAAAGCTGCTTTACAACTGTCGTTCCACTCAAACTTAGTTTGCTTCTTCATAACAGCGGTCATGGGTTTGACTATTCTCGAAAAGTCTTTAACAAACCTTCTATAATACCCAGCTAATCCCAAGAAACTACGAACATCAGTCACATTCTTAGGAGTAGGCCACTCACTTACTGCCTTGATCTTTGCAGGATCTACCGATACACCCTCCATAGAAATGTAGTGCCCTAGAAATTTACATGAGTTAAAATAACTCACTTTTAAAATAACTTAATTAAATAAGCACTTGGCCAAGTTTAAAACAAAATACTTTAAAACACGTTTTTAGCTTTAGTGGTAATAAAATCTCAACCTAAGCTCTGAGATACCACTTTGTAACACCCCAATAATTCTCTCTTTAAAACCTGTATTAACCTGTAATAACCTGTAGTAACCTGTAAATACTTTTAATATCCTGTGAGAGAATTACTGGTGTGCTACCGCCACGTGTTCAAACGTTAAGGCTAGTTTCAAATATCAACAGCGGAAAACTAATTTAGTTTTAAAAGAAAATGTAAGTTTCAAAACTAATAATCAAAACCAAATTTAGACCACAAGTTGGAACCATAACGACCCTTATTCAAAACCCAGTAAATTAGGAAGCGAGTAGAGTTAGAGTCAAAATAACATCAATTTATGAAATGAAATAAGCTAAGTGATTTACCAACGCTCCACTCAAATCCCATCACCCTGATGCAAGTTCAGTTTATGCAAAAACCTGTGATTAGTCTGCTCCCTAATATTACAAGTGTAAGAATTGGATCATTACAGGGTCATTGAAGGGCGAAGGCCATGACCAAGAGAAAACACACAAAAGCACGCAATCAGCAACGCTGAGTACATATAAGCTACGAAATATAGTAAAGAGCCTTAGCATGATACTAACAAGCATTCTATACACACACAATATAATCAATGACTCGAACACATGACTCAATTGTCGATCATTACTAAGTTTTCACTAAATAGCATTGATCATTTCATTAATTTGATTGGATTAAGCAATTGACCGGGTTGTCCCCCTATGCCCCATTTCGGAACATTAATAAAAGAAAACCCTATGCCTCCTTTCGGAAGACATTAATAAACATCCAATGGCAGACGGGCGCGACTCCGTGGCCATAGCTAGTATGAGATCTCATCTAACTCATTATAATTTTAAAAGTATTTGAAAACAAGAGACTCGTAGATTAGACGGCCTCTGAAAAGTACACGGCTAATACCCCGTGAACCCCAACCCCTGTTTGTCATTACTCTAGATGTGCACAAATCCAGAGTTTTATTGCTCATCCTTCTTGCACTTTACGTGATTTACCAGTTTTAACTTGGTGATGACTCAAATGCAAAACAACACAACCAATCATACATTAATCATTCAAACCATTCAAGTTTCCAATTCAATTCTTAATTTATTAGTGACAAACAACATTTATTATTGAATCCTTTAACTACCTCGGTGTATAAACACCTTAAGTGCATAAGGCACCTCAAATCCTATCCCTCAGTGTTAGAAACACCTTAAGTGCACATAGGCACCGCAATATAATTTATTCATGTGTACTAAGACACTTAAATAGCTCCTTTCTCATGCTTATAACATCAATAAAAATTATATGAACCATAATAAAATTCCTTTTTCATATTCCAAACCAAATTAAACATTTAGTTTAATCAAGCATGCTCTCTAACATGCCAATAATAAAAGTATGGTTCATAATCAACATGTCAATATAATTAATTCCAATCACCAATTCACCATAAATAAATCCAGAGTTTTATTGCTCATCCTTCTTGCACTTTACGTGATTTACCAGTTTTAACTTGGTGATGACTCAAATGCAAAACAACACAACCAATCATACATCAATCATTCAAACCATTCAAGTTTCCAATTCAATTCTTAATTTATTAGTGACAAACAACATTTATTATTGAATCCTTTAACTACCTCGGTGTATAAACACCTTAAGTGCATAAGGCACCTCAAATCCTATCCCTCAGTGTTAGAAACACCTTAAGTGCACATAGGCACCGCAATATAATTTATTCATGTGTACTAAGACACTTAAATAGCTCCTTTCTCATGCTTATAGCATCAATAAAAATTATATGAACCATAATAAAATTCCTTTTTCATATTCCAAACCAAATTAAACATTTAGTTTAATCAAGCATGCTCTCTAACATGCCAATAATAAAAGTATGGTTCATAATCAACATGTCAATATAATTAATTCCAATCACCAATTCACCATAAATAATTCATTCATCACAAATCATTCTCCAGTATCAATCCAATCAACAAATTCCATCCAATACCTATCGTGATACTACTTGGAATTAATTTAACAAAGCCTAGCATGCTTCTATACACCTAAACATTACCAAGTATGCGAACGTACCTCAAATCATCTTTCCAACTAGCCACAATTGCTAGAAATTACTCAACTTAAAGTCTCATATAATACCAAATACATAAACTCAATTACTTCCTTGATTACATAAATTTCCAGCAACTTTTAAACACTTTAAACCTTCTCTAATAAGCTGAAATTTTAGTTTAAAACCTTTAAAAACTCTTTCTTTAAGTGGGTAATTAAAATCACAAAATAAAACCTCATTCATGGTGTTTATATAAAATTTCAGCACACTTTTTAAGACTTAAATCCCTCAAATAAATCTGAAAATTATATTAGAACCAATTAAAACCTCCCCTACTTATGGGTAATCAACCCCTTTTTATTAAAACACAAAAGTAGTGCTTAAAATAAAATTCCAGCAATATTAATTTATTAAAAACTCATTAATACTCCATAAAAATGTAGTCTTTAAGCTTTATTATTATTTACAATCAATAGATATATAAAACCCCTAAATCAATTGTAAGTTAGAACCCTAAAAATCAATACTTTAATAATTAAAACCCTAACTTTTAATACTTTATAAAATCATAATTTAAAACCATACAAAATCTGAAATTTATACTCTTTAGTTGTCATAACACAATTATAAAATATACTAATCATATTTCAATAATTAAAATCAAAACCCAAAAATACATACTACATAAAACAATTTTAAAAAAAAACAAGAGGAGAGAGATGGGTGGCTCACGGTGGGGGTGGTTGCCGACGTGGGTCGTCGGAGCGCCGGCTGGGCGCCAACGTGATGACATGGCAGCGAGGAGGAAGCAAAGCAAGCAGCCTGCTTGCTTGCATGATGTTGTTCACGCATGAACCAAAAGAAAAACAAGGGGAAAGAATAAGGAAAAAGAAAAAGAAAGAAAATAAAAAGAAAAATAAGGAAAAAGAAAAGAAAAGTTACTTACCCCCAAAATCTAATTTTTTTTTTTTTTTTTGATCTCTTGTATGGGAAATTTTTGGGGTTTTGGGGATATTTATAGAGTAGAAAGTAGAGATTGGGTTTAGGCCTAATAAATAGGTAGGCTTTAGTTATGAAATATTTGACCCACAAGGGTTCAAATAAAATAATTGAGCTTACTTAAATGAAATGGGTTGGTCCACAAGGAGTATGTAAGGATTGTTTACATACTATTATTTAAACGAGCCCAACAATTAATAAAAGTTTAGCCCAAAATAAATTTTACTTTTATAAAACTCACTAATTTAAAATACTTTAGCCCTTAAAAATATATATTATAATTAATTAAATAATTTATAAAATACATAAAAATACGGAGTATTACAACAGGTTAGTTTGATGATG